CAGGAGACTTTATGCAAACTGTGATCAGGTCTGAATTTATTTGTTACATTTTCTTTTTCCACAGCATGGAAAAACACAGGGATACACTAACTTCTGTGTGCAGGTCAAAGGAAGGAGAGGGGAAAGTGTATTTAATGTGGCTCTGTGCCGTGCTCCTCTTCCTCTCAGGATCTGGAGTTTGCGTCGGGGCTGGTTCGGCAGAGTCAGGTGTCTGCGGAGGTTCTCCTGGAGGCCCTGCGCCTCCTCCTGCCCACCCTGCCTGAGAGCGAACTCCTCTCCATCACCGACGCCCTCTGCCCCAAACAGCACCCGGGCTCATCTTCTGCAGAGCAGGAACACTCGGGGTAAGGAACAGGTCAAGGATCTGTCTACTGGCAAACATTCTGCTCATTTATATTGTGCAGGGTCAACCAGGGTTAATGTGTTTGACTTATGAGATGTGAATGATAGTCAGTGGCGGCTCCAGAGTATTTTTGTTGGGTAATCTATGGTAGGGCTAACCCATACAGTGGTGGGGCAGTAGTCAGTATTTGCAATGTAATTACATACACGCTACTGTATATCGCCCCCCTTGACAGTGAAACGCCACGCGTGAGGTTTAGATTATTTCCCTGTCTCAATCCAAATTGAACTGTATGAAATTATAAAAAGGCATATTTGTCTTGTAGTAAATAAAAAGGGCAACCTGGAGCCATTCCTGCAATTTCCCCACAGGTGAAAGAGTTGACATGCTGAAAACCCAACCCCTGCAGGGGGGTCTGGGGGGCTTCTCCCCCAGGAGATTTTTTTAAATACTAACATAAAATACACATTCTGGTACTCTCTTGAGAAGAAAAATAAATAAATCTATTACTACACATTTAAAAAAATGAATGCCATTTTAGTTTTGTGTTACTTTGTTCTGAAAGCTGAACCTGCTGCTCCTCACAGAGAGAAGAGGGAAGAGGCTGTGTGAATTACTTTACATTGTGGATAAGGGTGGATAGCCCCCATTGTTCTGTGTGTCAAAATGAAAGACAGCCCACACACCTATCAATCATCAAACCGTGGGGTCTTATTTCATTACGTGTTGATTTCTATCAACACGTAATGTTGTATCGATGTAGCCAGATGTACTACAGCAAAAGTATTCTCCGTCGGGACTTCCTGCAACAACACCACGCCGTTATCGTGATTCTGATTGGCCAGAAGACATTATCAAAGATGTTTTATTGAGAAGACGATCACGACGTGACAAAAGTTTTCAAAACCGTTTATAGTCTTCGGTATTTTCAGACAAGTGGCTACTGAAATCAATCTTACTAACTGCTGTCTGTGCAATTTACTCCGCGCGAGTTGGCGGACTTTATTTTGCTTACTTTAACATCATTTTTCATGGTGGGGCTAAGGTGGGGCTAAGCCATTTCTTGGTATGGCTGTAGCCTACCCCAGCCATACCCTGGCGCCGCCACTGATGATAGTTGATAGTTATCTTAAGCCTCAGGGGAGAAGTTGTGTTGATCGTGTGCATGAAATGTGTGTGTGTCTGTCCACCACACATCTTGGATATTACTGGGGCCTAAAATATTTTATGGGCTTATTTATAACTGTGATCCACAATTGTTTTTAAACTATTTTATTAGCTGTTTTATATTGTCGTTGTCTGACTTCTCACTACTTTTAACCAGCCAAAGTGATCAACAAACTGCTTCTGAAGCAAAAGGCATTTCCTGCAATGGGCTAGGCTAAAAAACAAGCCCAATCTAGTCTTTTGAAGGGATGCATTTTGGCCTTTGATTGCTCAAAATCTGACATCCATACAAAAGTGTGGTCTCATTTTGAACCGAAGCATCGGCCCATTAATTTCTTTCCCAGTATGTTATGATCCACTAAAGTTAGGCAGGATATGAGAAGAATAAATCCCTTTTTTGGTTATCTTGGGGGCCATCATGACTGCAAGGGAGGTGGGAGGAGTGAGGGAGATCTAAGATAGAATAAAGATTACCCAGCATCAGACAAAGATCTTTCTGGCTCTACTCGGCTTGCAAACAGAGTTTAGTCACAAACTAATGTGTGTAAAGCTTGCACTACTCCATGATGTGTTTTCTCCCCCCTCCTTTTTACAGGGAAAAATAATAGAATAAATTGAATTAAATAGTTCCAACAATAGTGAATACCCCTTTTCCATAAGTACACAATCATAGTCTCAGAGATTCCAATTCTGTGGTTTAGAAAAAAGTTTGTGGGTGAAGTCAGTTATGAAATAAAAGCAGCGTTTAAACACAGCTGACCGAAACCAACCCATCTCTAAGTGTTGTTTCAAATGTGAAACCTATGTGCAAACTGATCAACTTTCTCTGATCCAACATTGTTGAGATAAAGGATTAAACTCATCATTCAATATAACTGTCTTCCTGATTCACTGGGTCACTCATGTCGGCCCCCGCTGCGTTTGGATTACTTTTCTGATGAATAATGTCTCATGCATGATGATCGGAGTGGTCTGGCCAAAGGACAAGAGGATGAACAATAGGCGAAACATGTGGTTGTCTTTTCTTTTCAGCTCTTTTGTATCTGCTTTTTGTTGGCAGCATAGAGTTTAATGGTTCTTTACAACTGTTTTAAATCATGCTAATGGGAAACAGGGAAACAGTTATGTGTCTGTTTCTGCAGAAACAAGTCCTTCTCCCTTTTTTATTGCCTTTGACTCAACATCTATCCCCAATAAGCTCCCCCATTCAAATGGCTGGCATATCTGTCTTGCTATGGCCGTACTTGTTTAACTTTACCAAGCAAATTATTTACATAAAAGTAATAACTCCCAAATGACCCATCACAATCATTTAAAATGTGTCAGTGCTTTCAGATGTTTGTCTGCAGCATCTGTTTAATATCTAGTCAAACACCATAACGATACAATCATTGGATTGTCCTCTATTAGCTCGATTGATGACTAAAAATGTACTTATCAATGTTGCTTTAATGAGCATTGTAATCAGGTGATAGATGCTGTACTTTTACAGCAACTACTAGACTTTCACAGAAATGCTAATGCATTATGATTCGCTGTTTACCTCTTTTTGGATTCAATCTGCAATATTAAATCCTCTAATGAAGAATGGCCTTGTGACACTTTACAGTTGGAATTATCCGTGCTTATTAAATAATTTGACAAGCTTCACATGATGTACCCTACTATGAAAGAGATAAAATATGTAATCTTTTAATTTAATGGAAAAGATCACAGAGCTCAGTCTCCAAACCAATAAGAAGTTATTACACCGTATGAGAATTTCTTATCAAAGCCGAACATTGTCTGCAGAGATCGTATCGCAGTTACGGGTTTTATAATATATTGATGACTTCTTGACCAGGTGTGCCGGGGGGGTGAACAGAGTTCTTCCTGTCAAACTGAGGGAAGAAGTGGTGCATAAAAATATGCCAACTATGCCAAGCTGCACTGTGGAAAGAGAGAGGTGAGTTCAACACATTTCTGTGTTTGGCTACCAGCTGTTATATAAAGACTTTATTTAACAACATCATTAGGACTCATTTTTTAGTTCAGTGATCAGCCACATCATAAAATATCCTTTATTGATGTATCATGTGCCTTCGCTCAGTTACATGGCTGTGCTGCAGTGACCACATGCATGAGGTAAGCACTTCAACACTCCCACTCACAACAGCTCCTTTGTCCTCCAAATGTTCACAGACTCCTGGAAAAGAGGCCAAGTTTGATGGAAAAACTGCTCCCCAGATCTCCTCTCCTGGCTCCAAGAGATGTTACACCACTGCTGGTTGGAGAGGAAGGAAAGGAGGACAGTCCTACTAAAGCACAACGTCCAATTGATAAATCAACCGTGACTGAAAACACAGTTAGTAAGCCGCTAAATGACACTGAAAAAGAAACATTACAAAGCACAACAGAGGAATACATGATGCCAGCGTCTGCCAGCTCAGTGCTGGGTGTCCACGCTACAGGAGAGAGGCTGTTTGTGTTCAGGGACCCGTCTGAACCATGTGACATTGTAGAGGCTCCTAAAAGAAAAAAGAAAAGGAACTTTCTCAATCTGAAGAAAGGCTCGGTGGCTCCGACACACCTACCTTGAGTCTGAAAAACATTGTCGTCCACAAGATTTTTTATGATGATGGTACTATATCATGGTATATAATACTAAAATCTCAAATAAATCAATAGTTTTGCTGTTTAGCTAAACTTTCTCTGTGCCTTTTTAGAAATGTTAGTTGCATGGTGGTTGTGGTTGAACAGTTTATTATTACCTCAGCCAAAGAAGTTATGTTTTTAGTTTTTTACTGGCAGCAGGATGATGATAAATCTACTGCCCAAATGTTAACGAAACTTGATGGCCGCTTGTAGCATAGGCTGAGGAAAAACCTATAACATTTTGGAAGGGATTTTTCTATAGGTGTATTTCTGCTTTGCCAAAGTACCCTTCTGGATTTTACATTATGTTTGTATACAGATTACAATTGTCTCTTGAATGGACATCTTTTAAATTGTCCACAAAAGTTTAGACTCTTTTTACTGAAAAGGTTACAGTATACAAATGTGTTTTCATAGTATTAAAGTGTACTGTATTCGCATTAAAAAGTGTTTTTATTGATGTTCAAAACTCCAGATATCAGACACTTTTTCTGGTTTGAAGTGAGAATTGTATGCCCTTGATTCAAGATGTACAGAATAATTAAATGTATCCAAATTCCAAGTTATTTCATGTGCAACAGCTTCAATGCATTTTTTTTAAATAAACACGTGTATCTTCCTCTTAATGACCTTTACAACCCAAATCAAGGCTGGAGATTCATCCTTTATTTTGACATGTTGTTGACCCTAAGTGATTATTATAAGCTGTCATTAATATCGTGATTCTAGGGAATTTGTGGCTGTTTATCAGCAGGAGAGACTCAATCATCCGTGGTATTTGGAGCGTGCATGAACACAGCAGACCCCCAAATGTTTTCCTCACTCTCGCTGCGCGTCATCGTCCATCGCTTTTTTTCACTCCACCACTCCATCCTTAAAACTGCTGCAGGTCCTCCTCTTGACTATTTGAAAGCCGGTTCCCTGTGACACAGTTTACAGCAGCAGCAGCAGTGTTATCATCCGATATGAGGCTGGGACTCGCCACCCTCGTGTGTTTCTTCAGCTCGGTGTGGCTGACGGAGTGCGCGCCGCCGACCTGCTACTCCCGAGCGCTCGGCCTCGGCAAAGAAGTCATGACTCTGCTGGATAAGATTCACACGTACCATCGCACGGTAGGAGATTTGACACATTCTGCAGACGAGGCTTTGCAGACTGGTAGGACGTGTTATGTTCAATAATGATCCTGTTTATTGGGTTGCAGAAAACGTGTGCTGAGATTCTACCCACGATCTTCATTGATGTGCACGTAAGTTATAAACAATATTGTGATGTGTTGGGACACATGGAGGGTTAAAGGGGTATGAAACTGAGTTGTTTGCTTGACACTTGTTTTGCATTAAAACATGTAATAGGCCTACATAGTCAACAGGGTGGGTGACACAATCCCGGTGAGATAAGAGCTGTAGCTGCCACAGTGTGCAAGGTGCTAATTACATTCAATGTAGATCTGCAACGTTCGGTTAGTCGACTAATATATTAGTCAATATAAAAGACAACTAATCATTAACCTTTCTGATCATCGATTAATCTCCCAAGTCATTTTTCATTAAAAAATGGCCAAAAAAATGTTTTTCTCAAGCACTCAAATATGGAAATTACATTTTCTTTCTTAGTTTCATATCATGTATAAAGTGAATATACAGTGTGTGGGTATTGGACAGACATCATAATGTTTAAAACCATCAGTTAACTTTTACTGGGACAATTTTGAATAATATTTCATTATTATAAAAATAATCGTTAGTTGGATCCTTGGCCCTTTGTTTGCATGTTTAGGTGTTTATAAAACCCTTTGAGTTCATGAGATTCCAAAAAAGTGTACGGTCTGTTGTGCAAAACCTAAAGCTCTGATAAGGGTAATGTAAAAATGATTCACTAGAAGATGTGTCTGTAGCCGAAGAGAGCACGGTTTGTTATTAAACTGCTGGTTTATCTTTCTAGAACTCATGCGTCACAACCAAGCTTCGTGATTTTCTCTACGTGGTGCTGAACCATCCAAACCCATACTGCAGAGAGCGTCCCAGGATAGTTCTGCTGAAACGTAAAATCCAGAGCTTGTACAACATCATCACCAGAATCTGTTGGCGGGTGAGAGCATCTGAAATGCCCTGCATTGTTTTTGACCTTAACATTCTTTGTTTCCAGGCCTGAGTGTCTAGATCTCATGTTTTCGTTTTGTTGGCAGGACTTGGTGTTTCTCACAGGTGACTGTGAGGGTATTGACACTGGACACAGTCGCCCTTACTATGCAGAGGACCGGCTGCAGCTACTGCAGGAGGAGAGATGAGCAGTATGTTACATTCCTAAAAACACCTCGGCAATATAATAACACATGTGCAATACACACCGCAGCCCGCATGCGTCATTAACAATACATTCCGTGCTGTTTCACGCCGTACCTAGTTGGCTCGTAGCTGCAGACCCATGTTAGTGGACATGTGTGGCTGCATTCCAGCAAGGAGTGCAGGACTTTCCACAGGAAATTTGCTGAATGCCAACCATGCCGATGAAAACCTTGAAATAATAAACCAATAAGAGTTGCTTTTGAGCCAGGGCTTTACAGCTGCTTACTTACCGAGGCTGATCAAAGGTTCATGTGTCATTAAGAAAAAAATGCTGTGTTGCCATAACCCTTGGTCTCACCAACCTGTCTTAGAGGAGCATTGTACAGCATTTTGTAAACATTTGCTGATTTGAACATGGTGGTTGAGAATGTGACATATAAATAGATGTCATAAGCATGGCTTTGGCACACTAAGAAGCACATATAGAAACTTTTTTATTTTTTTTATACCAAAGAAGTAACTACAGTGCTGCTGTTTGTACTTAAACTGAAGAAAATGTACTTGGATTTAAGCAGAATGGGTAGAACATATAGAGCCCCCACTGTCATGGAAATATTAGAAACATGTCTGTTTTTATTTACACAATATATGTGTTTCTCATTTTGTAATAAAACCTCTCTTTAATCTAACAGCCTTTGCTTGTTATATTCTTTGAAGTTATTTCCACAATGTTTGCCGACTGATTCCTGGAACAAAATATATGAAGTCTGTGAATCCACAGGATCTCCTTTTTCTAGTTGTTGGGTTTTTTTTACACAGGGGAGTTACTTTGTATTTTGACAGATGCTCTGATTTTCACTGCATTTGATATTAACCGATGCAATTCATGAAGTCTTGTCACCACTGGACGAAAAGACAGTTGCATTTCCAGGAATCTTAGTTCGGGTCAAACACAAAAAGTAAAAGTAACTGGTTGTTGTGTTTTTAAAATGTGATTGATGAACTATAAGTGAAGCTGTGTGGTTTTCACTCAAACCACAGTTCCCACTCCCACACATAACAGAGTAGTTGCCATTATTTTGACAACAGTGTTATGACATGCTGAGTTTGGGAATTCTTGTTTCTGATATAATGTATGGACTCTGATGCCCTCTGATGGTCAGACTGTAATCTGCATGCAGAAAATCATTTGCTCGATCTTAAGCTTTTTAGACCTTAATTATGTAACAAAAGTTGCTCTTACCCATCACAGACTGAGAAGTTTTACCTCATATTTACGGTGTTTTTTTGTAACCCCTCATGTCAGCGCAGTGGTTTATCATTTTAGAGTACTGCATTTTTGGTTATATGAAGTCTATCCTGAACAATAAACCAGATTTTCTTTTGGTCAAAACGTTATTGCTAAGAAATGCTATGAGTTGTTGGCTGAATAGGCTTCCCTGATATCTCCACATGTCTTTACATCGACAGTTTATTAAAATACTTTCAATCGTAACTTGACTGCCTGACAGCATTATATTTATTGAAAGAAAAAAATCAAATGCAGAATATCTGTGTTTGTATGTGTGATTTGTCTTTCTGATGGCAGACATTGGTTCTTTATTTGATAGATTGTCTACGTGAAAAAAATGCATGTTTGCAATTTGCTGAGACATCTATCCCATAAGCAGCCACAGATTCTGTTGCTGCTTTGCTATTCACCGCTTTGCCGTTTGTTTCTTTGCCGTTTGCTGCTTTGCTGTTTGTTGCATGGCTGTTCGTCGCGTTGCTGTTCTTTGCTTTAATGTGCGTTGCTTTGCTGTCCTTGGTTTGGCTGTCAACATATTCTGCATTTCAGAAAAGCAGCAATATACTGTTAATTTGCCCATACACTGTAGCTGTTGTGCCATTTATTTTTCATGTGTTAGGCCTGAAGCCATTATGCAAGATTACATAGTGTTAGTCGGGTTGCATTGTGCAGGATGCAAGACTGCTGAAAACCTGCTGAGCACAGTTTAAATGCTCTCAGTCATCTTTAGGGTTGTTTAGGTAACAGAAAACCAGGATCTGCAGTGTTCCTGGATGAGGCTCGTCAGGAATAAGAGGCCATCCATGTAAAGGTCATCCATTTAGATATTGAAGGTTTATCCTCACACGGTGTATGACAGTGCCTTGATCTGTCACAAGGTGGTGCTATTTGTTTTAGTTTCATGTTGCCACATCAGACAAGAAAATATTTATACTATTTTATGCTGCTGATAAATCAGTACAATAAACTGTATATATAGGTGACCCTGACAGACTGAAGATGTTTCTCTCTTTGTGTTTGATTCTGTAATTAATATCAATTCAGAGATTTTATAGGTGAGACGCAGCTCAAGAATATGTCAAAAAAAGAATAAAATCTGAAGCCATTATGTTGAAAAGGTTAAAAGTATTGCCTGCTGTGATGAGAACTAATTAACAGTATTTTTATTAGGAGAAGCAAATGCACTAAAACAAAATATATATACGTTTTATTAAATAGACAAGGACATGAATGACAGACTCAAAGTTGTAATAATGTTGCAGTATTTGAAGCAGCAAATCTTCTAATTGCACAATATTTTATTGTTCTAATATCACAATAATGGCAGAAAACTGGATCAAAACTGGTACTAAAAAAACTCTCACAGCTCCATCAGTCCTGTCCAGAAGATTATTTAAATCCGACAACACATACTAACTATAGTTTATAATCATTTAACAGCCAGCAGTTTAATTTGAACCCATGTTTCAAGAACATATCCTGAGCCAAGAATGAAGTTGTTGCAGTTCTAAACTATCAGGTCTGAACCGCTCAATGTTAATGAACTAACCCCAACAAAAACAGGAATGTTAGTGAGCTCAGCAGCATGTGGCTTGTTAAGAAATCAGCCCACAGTGGGCTTATAAAGCTTAATTACGGTGCTTATTGATCATCATTAGAGGGCTGCAGAATCCACTTTATTTTGTTTCATTAAGGCAAAACGAGAACAGAACATTAAGACCGCAGGCGGCCAGGTAATTTAACAAAGTATAATGTTCTGGGACACAGCACCAAAAATGCTGCACAATAAAAACAACAACAACTTAGCCGAAGGGTGACAGCAATCATTCTCTGCTTTGGTGAAATAAATTACCTTGTAAAGGACAGATCAGAAACCCATTTACATTAAAGCATTGGTTATGCAATTTTGTTTATGTGGTTTTCCAGGCAATTTTCCATCACATTTAGCACTTTTATTGCATCTTAAGAGAAATGTTGCCTCATTAGTCCACATAAGAAAATGTTTTTCCCACTTTAATTTCCAATAGATTATTGGCACACATTTGTAATTACGCTGCTGAGTAAATTTGGTTGAGGTCCTAAACTCTCACATATTAGAACAAAGCTTCCCCTCCTGTCAGCAAGGCCTACTAAATAAACGCTCAACTGTTCCACTGGTTTGCACACTGAGGTGTTTAATGAAGGGTCAGTGGAGGAATTCTGATAGCAAAGGTCTAACAAGTTCACCAAACCTCAGTTATGATCAATGGGAGATTACCTTATTGATATATCAGAAGTCAATATTGTCAGTGGCCAAATTCTCAAATGAATCCAAATCAACCATGACACCCCTGCCCCCTAGAGGACATTGCAGGACTTACAAGCACAACATGAAGAGGTTTATGATGAGTCATTTTAAAATTGTAAGCTCTACTTGTAGGTTGCTATTACAGAGTGACTCACGCTGATCAACACATCAGGTAAGTAGTGATAAATGGTATAAGCAGTGTTTATAACTCAATATATTGTTAAAACGTTCATCCCCTTGATGGCATGCGGCCAAACAAAAAAGTTCAACCAAATCATATTTCCTATATTCTTAATTTGACTTTTTCCATGACAGTCTGAACTTGCTGTAAGCATTCCTTTTGTTTTTCTATATATGACCTTTCTATAATATTTCTGTAAGAACATCTGGTTTCTGCAGGAGGTTGACATTATGTCCTTTTGATACAGGCCGCCGCAGGAGACTGGTGATGATATCTCTGCTGGTTAGTGAACATTGATGTATAACATTCTTGCTGCATGAGTCCGTAGCATAATGTGATGCAGAGCAAACACGTGGCTGTGCGTTCAGGTTGGTTGTCCATTATATTTGTAGTAGTAGGCCTACTTGTATTTTGAATGGAAATATTAACCATTCCTCCTCCTACTCTATTATGAATCAGAGTCTGACGAATAATTAATGGCGAAATGTAACTTTTATTTTCCCTTTAAAACGTGAACAGATGAAATCTCATCATGAGACTGAAGGTGAAGTCACAGCATCTTAAAAAGTTCGTTTCGGCGGCTGTTTATAAAAAGTAGACCTACGTTTTTTTTTTGCTGCAAATGATCATTGCGAATCATATTTTAAAACAATTATTATTGTTTTGGTTTGTTCACTCACCGTTCGGATGTTCCTAAATTAAACATGATGCCTAAAGCCAATGTTTGCTCAGGGATATTAATGTTATTCATTTAGGCTTAGCTGGATTCAATTAATATTTAGTTGAGTACGGTATATATTTTTTTAATGTATATTTTCCAGCTTTAAACTTGTTTTTCGAAACGAAAAAGATTGTTTTTATTTAGGGCTACTCCAACTCCGAACAGAAGGTGGTGGTGTGGTATCTGGAAACAAGAGAAAATAACTTGTGTATTCAAAGGATTTTGTCTTGAAAATGATGTGAATTCATCTTTCCTCCGCATTTCATATTATAATAATGCACTTGTTTGGTAAATATTCGGTTCATTACCCTATAAAACTGACAATATTGTGTCTAATATGTTGTGTTAAATGACAAAATGCTACCGATAATAACCAATGCAGAAGAAATAACGTTACATTTCTGTTTGTCTTCATTACATTAACTGGTTTCAAATCATTATGGTAAAACTATATTATTTTTTGTATAAAACGTAATTAATGATCAAGTAGCATAAAGGTTAAACCCTCTACTTGTTTATGTTAACATTTAAATATATATTTGTGCAAATAGTTTTTTTTAGGGAAACAGATTTCAACAGAAAAAAAAATCACATTATGGGTCTTTGCAATTTTGCTAAACAATACAAGTTTTTTTAAACAATGTTTGTTTAAAAATATTCAGAGATTTAAAAAAAAATGGCTATACTTTCTTCAATAACCTATAGGCTAATAATTTGTCTCGTAAAGTCTAATTTCGTGTCCTCTTTAGGCCTATACATCTTATGGAGAAAAACAGGATAATAAAGGTTAAATGTCGATTAAACATCCCCTAAATCCTCTGCCTTAATAACCATTTATCCGAGCTGCAGAGCAGACTTCTAATAACCCATTCTCCTTTTTATTGGGGATCAAGGGCTTTTAACTACAGAGTCAAACAGTGTCGTGTGATCTTTTGGATGATATAAACAAGTGAGTTTTGTTTTCTGTTGAAGTCCTGGCGAGATTGAGGGCGGCAGACAAAAGAAAGAAAGAGTTGAAAGAATAGACAGATCCCCTTTGGCTCTTTTGTGTCAAGTTTCTCTTCTTTTCAGATAGTGCGTCCATCCATGTGATTTATACGCATTGTCAGGGATTATGTATTAATTCATGCTTCCTACTTCTAGACATAGAGGAGCGGAGATTGTGAGAGGAAAATGCACTCTCAATGTTATTTAATACCGTGTTTTTATATT